ATGAAATAATTAAACTTACGTGAATATCGAACCATGATGTTATTTCCTTGTTCGTTAAAATATAATCAAGAGGATAGAAAATAAGATCTAAAAATTAGAAAAAAAAAAATTTATCACATCAGAAAACTATCTATAAAAAAAAGAAATATTTGTTTGCTGGTACTATACTAAATAGAAATAAACAAGATGAAATACTAACAACCAATCACAAAATTGATGCATGGTACTATAAAAATTAAGTAAGAACAAAGAAACAATATAGAAAAAAAGGTCAGTTGTTATGTTGAAATAAACCTGAGTAAATATTTTATAAAAATTTAATTAATTATTTAATAATTAAAATAGAGATGTCACTGCTATACATTTATTTCAATCATATTATTAAATGAAGTATGTTCAGGTTTCTGACAAAAAACAAAGAAATTTTCGAAATTACTAAAGCAAGAGAAGGTCATTTCTAGTAATTTTCGAAAAATTGATACAATAAATTTCTCTTAGGTATCAAGCAGAAACAAAGATTATGGAACTCTTCCTACGTCCCATGTCCACCCTGCTTTACACGTTGTTCACAAAAGCAGTGTTTATACGCAACAGACTTCGTTTTCTTATTCAAAAGTCAATTTTTTTTTGTAGCAATACGAATAAACGGTAAAGTCTAATGCGCGTCTTCTTTTAATCAAGATTAGTGTTGGGCAGAGCTCGTTGAATAGGTCTCGAACCCGAAGCCGAGTTGGAAAATTATTTCACATCTTGAAAGCGGCCATCAGGATTAGATTAAAAGACTTCGTTAAAATTAGGAATATGGTTCAACTTCATATCCAGCAAATCTGTAACTGATAACAGTTATTGACCAGTCTGGTGGAAGATTCCTAGCCGATCGGTATGGCGGCCAGTTAGAAAGAAGTTGTTTTCCTTAAAAAACTGCTCTTAATGGTGTTTTTTTTTCGCAAATCGAGCAATTTTTTTTAGCGAAGTCGGAAACGATTAGTGTCTGAAAATCTACATCGCATCTGTGTATTAACTAAAAATTCATTATAGTATGTTTAATATATTTTATTGACTCACTTTAATATCAGCTTATGCTATTGCAACTAAGTACTAGAATGATTTGGATGCCTCTTATTGACCACAAATTGTAATTTCCTGAGTCAATCCCTAAACTATATCCACATTTGTGAATAGTCAAACAATTAACATCAATACTGGTGAGCGAATAGGGATTTTTTAATATAAGCTATACTGTAATCCTATACGATTCAAGCACTCATAGCATACTGTACATATCAGTGTCCGATACGGATCACTTTTTTTGTGACTCGATCCGACCTAATCCGAGCATATCGTGACCCGACCCGACCCGAGGTGAGGGATCATTTTTTGGCCAATCAAAGTGAGTTTTTTTCAGACATTGACAATCTTTTCAGTAAATCGATACATATTCTATAGGTATTCGAAGTAAAGAAATGATTATCTCATCTAAAGTTGCTGCTTTTCTTATGTGAAGTTCGGAATTCGTAAACCTTTTGAGCTCCAACCCAAGCACAATATGACCTGACCCAACTTGACCCGAGGTCTGACCCGACCCGAGTCGCACACTGGTATACATGTTTTATTCAAGATTATCGTCAACTGATCATCTAGTCATCAGATGCAAAGAACAGTGTAGAAGTTTAATATCTTATCCTTTTTTTGTCTTCGTATTTTGTTAATTTTGTCTAACTACTGTAGTTCATTTAGGGTGTAAGGGGTGCGTGAAAATGAAGGAATACCAATCCACGCCATCACGATTAGAAGAATCTTCTAATCCATTATAATTTTGATTCTGTTGCACAATAATTTGGTTGTCAATTTCGATTATACTCATAGGATTTTGAAATTTTAATCACTATAAATTTTCACTCGGAAGTAACGCAACACAAACGTCACTAAGCCTTCTACTGAAAGAAGAATAATATGATGGAAATCAAATAAAATGATCAGTCGCGAAGTTTCAAATTCCATCGATCTTTTTTTGTTTTTGATATTTAATATTTATCTATATTTCTAAATAAATTTGTGTTGAGTTTAATCATCTAATGAAACTATCTTCATGTTTACTTCGAAAATGTTATGCAATGAAGAAAGCCAATCATAAATTAAACGAACCTGCTAACATTAGCAAACTCAAAGTATTAGCATAAAGATTTCAGTTATTTATACAATCTTTCTTTTTGAAGATATTCATCCATTTTTCAAAATGGTTTCTATTACTCATACATTACTAGCCAAATGATATGGATGATGTTTTTATCTATAATCTTATGGTTGTCATCAAATACAATAAATAATTACTACAGATTGAATTTTAGGTAACAGCAATCCATGTATATGAACTAGAGATAATGTTTTTTCTCTAATTTTGCAGTAAACGAAGAAGCTTTATGACTGCTTTGACTTCTTCTCACGAGTATAAAAGATTATATCAACCATAGTTGTGGTGAAGTTCACCTGAAAAATAGTCATTTGAAATTTAAATCTAATATTTCGCTAACTTATAACAGACAAAACCATGTATGAAAACATAAAAACGATTTTTGACATGGTTTAGGATTCTTAACCTCATCGTTGTGAACAATTTTGCCGTAAGGAGTACTTCTCAATTCCTTCTAAACTTGCTCAAACTTCAGTTTAAGTGTGTCCAGCAAAATCTGTTAACATTATTTTACAAAATATTCATCCTCACTTCTTCTTATCGTTTGATTTTTTTTTCATACATTCTTGAAAAACATTTTTTTTTATAGATCATTGCATACTTCATTAGTCACATTCTCTAGTTAAGAATATAATATTAGACTATGTCAATGGCCAAGTTATAGTCCAGATTTGAATTCTATTAAACTAGTATAGAATATTATGAAATAGGAAATGGAAAAAGAAAAATTCTGAAATCAAAAAGGTGAAATCAAAAATGAAATATACAATGATTTAACAACAAGTGTTATTCAAGAATATATTGAAATAATTCAGGCGACACTTAGTATCTTCATTTTAAACTTTTATTTATATTATAACTGATTCGAAAGATTTTTCCTGTTGATAGTAAGGTGCAAAAACTGCAAAACTCGAGCAATATCTTTTTTTATTATTGTACACATGGTTAGATAGAACTCGATGAACTCAGTAAGAGAAAAATCGAGTTTTTTTTTGTATAGTTCTGCATGGTCCATTTTTTCTTACCGTAGATTTTTCATACTGAAAAACTGATATGTTTATATTTTTGCCATAAAAAACTGAGAGTGTGAAACTAATTTGAAAATTAGTTTCACACTCTTAGTTTTTTATGGCAAATATAAACATATCAGTTTTACAATCAGCATAAAATGGAAAGTTTTTTTTTTAAATTGAAAAAATGTATCAGTTTATTCATTATGAAAAATCTACTGACAGAAAAAAATGAACTCTTTGGAACTATCGAGAAAACTCAATTTTTTTTAATCAGAAGACTTGCAAAACAAAATAAAATACATATTCTCACTAAACTTATCGAGTTCTATCTAATCATGTATAAAATAATGAAAAAAAAATATTACTCGACTTTTGCACTTTCGTGCACATTATATGTGTATTTTCTTCCGTTTTGCCTAACGAACGAGTAAATTAACACATAAACATTTGGTCATTGTAGCTACTCGGCGCACCATTCTCCTTTCAATAGAAGCAACAATTAGCAAAATTATTTGCATTGCAAAGCATACTCGATACTTAAAACTAATCATCGTCAAATTTCGTCCTCAGAACAATCACAGGTTAGATTATTCGAAAAAAATCGTCAGAAGGTGTACGAATCGAAATTTGATAGAAACTTGTTTTACATATTGAGTATACTCTTCGATGTAGATATGTTTTTTGATTATAAATATGATGTTTTAGTTCATTTGAAACAAAAGTTCTCATGGTTTAAATTTCTGAATTTTCCATACAGATCAATATCGACTCAAGTGAGACTTAATGCTTTAAGCGTATGCCAGTTCCTATAGGTTTGTCTAATGTTTTTTTTTAAAACTAAATTTCCTCAGTCTTGCTACAAAACTACTGTTCAAATATATTACAGATAATGCCTTTAGAACTAACTAGACGAGCACTATACAACCATACAAAAAGTCAATAAAAATCTCACTAACGAGGGAAGGTCGCCAACTGTTCAATCGCTTTTGAGTCGGAACTATGTACATCATGTAGGTCCTAATGAGTTATGAATACCCTGGAAAGAGTTCGGGCCGCTAGCTTATTACTATCGACATATTGCATTTTTACGATATTGTTAAGCAGAATGCCGTGGTCCCTCTCGGGAGCACGAGCAAAACTGAGTTTTGAATTTTGATTTGAAATTTGGCACATAAACAGATCTCCATGAGAGTAGTTTATTGTGAAAGTTTCAAATCTTTTGATTATTCCTATTCTGAAACAAGAACATCGAAACCTGTCGGAGGCATACGAGCAGTGTAACAACACCCTTTTTAGCCGTATCTTACGATAGGAACAACCAAAATATCTGAAACTTTCACAATAAACTACTCTCAATGAGACCTGTTTCTGTGCAAAATTTCAAGTTAAAATTCGAAATTCAGTTTTTCCGGTGTTCCTGAGAGCGACCACGGCATTGTGCTTAATTTAAAATACCACAAAAATGCAGTATCTCGACAATAATAAGCTAGCGATCCGAACTCTTTTCAGAATATTTATAGCTCATTAGGACCTACATGCTGTACATAGTTCCGACTCAAAAGCGATTGAACAGTTGGTGACCTTCTCTCGTAGGCCACAATGTGTATAAAACGAAAACCAAAAAATATCCACGTTTTAATTTAAATGAGAGAAAAAAAAAGATATTAATTAGTGCTTGTGAATATTGTTTGTAGAAAATATTTATTCATTAGAATACTTATCAATTTTATTTATTTTTCTTAGTTTGAACTTGAGTTTTACTAATAAAAACAAAAAAACTCATTGTTGTAGTGATCATGGCAGAAACATTAACATTGAATAATAATAGATCAACAAATGATGAAAATAAAGAAAGTACAACACTTATTTGGTTTGATCCAAATATTGGATCATATGAAGATACTGAACGAACAAAACAACAACTTCGTCTTATTAATGATTATGTTATTTTTTCTACTGATCTTGAACAATGTATTTCATTTATTCAATCAATTAATATAGAAAAAATCTTTTTAATTACATCAGGATCAAAAGCATCACAAATTTTATCTAGAATTTTTCATCGTTCTCAAATTGATTCAATTTTTATATTTTGTATGAATAAAAAACGATATGAATATTTATTAAATGAATATTCAAATATTATTGGAATTTATATTAATCTAGATGATTTATGTAAATCAATTAAAGAACAAATTGATTTTATTAATAAACAAATACAAACATTTTCTTATTTTGATCAACATGAAAAATTAACTAAAGATTTATCAAAAGAATCAGCAAAATTTTTTTGGTTTCAATTATTTAATTATGTTATTACGCGTCTACCACGAAATGAACAAGCAAAACAACAAATGATTCAAATATGTAAAGAATATTATCGTGGAAATACAAAAGAATTAAAATTAATTTATGATTTTGAACAAAATTATCAATCAAAAGATGCAATTCGTTGGTATTCAAAACAATCATTTATTTATAAATTAATTAATAAAGCATTAAGAATTGAAGATATTGATTTATTATATATATTTCGATTTTTTATTGCTGATCTTTCTGAAAATCTTCAACGTGAACATGAAAAAATTTTATTATCAAAAGAAAAAATTTTAATTCTTTATCGAGGAATTAAACTTGATAAAGAAGAATTTAATAAATTAAAAGAAAATCAAAGAAAACTTATTTCAATGAATGGATATGTATCAACTAGTCGACAAAAATCATTAGCATTAAATTTTGCATTAAAACCATCAAAAAGAATTGATGTTGTTCCTGTTCTTTTTATTATTCAATGTAATATAAAACAAATTGATAAAAATATTATTTTTGCTGATATTGTTCAATTTAGTGATCATCCAGAAGAACAAGAAGTTTTATTTGATTTAAATACATGTTTTGAAATTGAATCTATTGAAGAAAGTGAATCATTACAAATAATTAAAATGAATATATCAAATGAAGGATTAAAAAGTACTAAAGATTTTCTTGAATTAACACAAAAAGAAACAGAAGAATTAAGTGTTGCAATTGTTTTTGGTAGATTATTATGTAATTTAGGTCAATATGATAAATCACAAAAATATTTTCAACAATTATTAAATGATTCACATGATGAAGATCCTGCTTGGATTGAATTTAATATTGGTCGAGCTCTTGAATTTAAAGGTGAATGGAAGGAAGCACGAAAATATTATAATCTTGCGTATAATCGAATGATGAATAGTGAGCCAGTACGAATCAAAGATTCTGCTCATGTACTAAACAATATCGGTAATATTCTTAATCGACAAGGAAAGTATGATGAAGCTCTTGAATATCATCAACGAGCATTGAAAATTCGTGAGACATTTTATTCATTTGATCATATTGATATTGCTCAGAGTCTCAACAACATTGGTATTGTTCTCTGTCTACAGAGAAAATACGATGAAGCTCTCGATTGTTATGAACGAGCATTGAAAATTCAAAAGAAATTTTATTCATCTGATCATGTCTTTATGGCTACGAGCTTTATCTGGATTGGTAACATTCTCAGAGACAAAGGAAAATGTGATGAAGCTCTCAATTATTATCAACGAGCATTGAAAATTCAAGAGAAATTTTATCCATCTGGTCATGTCGATATTGCTCATACTCTCAACAATATTGGTGCTATTCGTAATACTCAAGGAAAATATAATGAAGCTCTCGATTATCATCAAAATGCATTGAAAATTCGAGAGAAATTTTATCCATCTGGTCATGCCGATACTGCTTGTAGTTTGAATAATATTGGCGTTTGTTATGAAAATCAAAACAAACAAAAGATGGCACTTGACTATTATCAGCAGGCATTAACTATTTATGAGAAATTTCTTCCTGTTGACCATCCAAATCGACAGAAAACCGAGAATAATATTCGTCGACTTACTGGAAAAAATTAAATTCTTTAAATGACATTAAAAACTCAAATTTTAATAACGATGTAAAATAAAGTTGTACATTGAATTTTGTTTAATATATGATGAACGAGATTCATAAAAAGCTTTGAATTACATTTTTATTGTTATGTTTGAATCCATATATATGCTAGAAATGTATAACACAGCATGACAGAAACGATAAGACTATACTAGTTTAAATTTTGATATATTGATAAAAGAAAGCTCGATATTCCTCTTCAGACGAATGAAACTTAAGACGATGTTGATCACTGAAGATCGTTCATCATACTAACGGTCAATAACAATGTATGAAAAATGCTGTATAATAATGTATAGATCAGCTTAAGTACTGAGTTAAGATGAGTAAGTCAACGTTTTTCATATTAGATGCGAATTCTACGAACTAAAAGGTCAGTTTATCTCAACACAATAATGCAATATTTCGAAAAATCGTAGGTCAAGTTACATAAATAAATCTTGAGTTTTAAGAAAAAAGAATAGTTCTTTCACTCAAATGTACAACTATATTATTGTTGGCTTTAAATGTATCGATTTTCTCTACTTTTATAACTAGTTTTTTTCTCAGCTAGAAATTATCAGAAAAGAAGTAGCTAATAATTTTTGTTCTTATATGGTCTACTCTCACGTGAACAAAATCAGAAATCAATTGTAGGAATGAACAACACAGGTATAGATGAGTTAAAATTTATTCGAAAATGACTGGACTTATCTCGATCCCATCATTGACTAACTTTTACACGATAATGTTGCTTCAATAATTTGTTTAATGTAAAGAAGGATACTAATAATATTCAATAATAAGTCACCGTTTAATGTTTATAATTATATGACTCGATAGTTACTCTTAAATTATTTCGAAAATATTTTCAAAACTAGCGTTCTCTACAATACATTTTCGTTCATACCTTAAGAATGTCTTACAATGAAAAATTATTCATGATAGTTTTGAAATTAAGATAAATAAGCTTCAATTTTTGTATAAGCTTCGTTAAATCACTCTAAAGTTCATCAAGCACATATCTCTTACCATCTTTATCACCAGATCATGCCACTAGAGCAATTGAGGGGCCTCAGTCACTACCCTAATCCAAAATCCTGATTCTGGTGTTGACTCGAGCACTATTCATAGAATACATTATAATAGGACATGCTCCAATATATATCAGATGATAAGACATGTGAATGCTTCTTCTAGACACGTATACGGATGGCATATAATTCAAGTGAGAAATTTAAAGTACTACATGCGTGAAAAGGAGTGCAACTTTTAACGACGTGTAACGAGTTAGTTACTGTTAAAAGGAGTTATACGTGAAAAATTTAACGCATTTTTACGAATTTCGGAAATGCAACGAAAATTCATGAATTTTTCTTCGTGAAACTTCCTTAATTTATCTTTTAACTCAACTTTCGGCAACATAAACAAAATTCTTTTTAAATTTTAGTAAAAGATAGAGAATTAAAAATGGAACAAATTGAACTATTTAAATATAATATAATGCCCGACTTACTCAATGTTTATAAAGTCAACAAGAATGAAAAATGCTTTCCTTTTTTTTATTGAGTCCAAAATGTATGCTATATAAAAACTTGCTGTTTCTCTAGGTTTCTCTTTAAAAAAAAAGTAGTATTTTCTGTCCTTTTGCTAATATGTTAACTGATGATATTCTAAGTTAGAACCAAACATTGCATATCTGGATCGAAATAATAAATAAACAGATTAGATTGTTTCGTTACTTTCATCATTATATTATTGTATTTCATACTATCAAGCCGCCTCGATTTCGAAAATTCAATGATAACTAATACACTCACGCCCACACATCTACATCCTGATCAAATATCGACGTTTCAGATATTCGAGAGAAAGCACTTCGCATCTTATTTCGAATTTTCAACTTTGTGAAGAAGTCATCTAGTTTGCTTAATTGAATAGTAATAATAATAAAGAATATCAATCATTTTTAATATGAATTATAGTGAAGAACTATTTGAAGTTGAATTTGATGTGAATTTCCACAATTTGGTAAACCATCAGTTACAGAAACTAAAACACCTATAAAATAACATGCGTAAAATTGATGTAAAGTTGCAAAGACGATGCTAATAAGATTCAGAAAGTGGAGAGAGAGCGATGTTTCACCTTCGACATCCACCTTCCTTTCCCCGGTCGGGCTACCACTGATTACATATACGTAAAATCTAACTGTACCTCTACAACAAGGAAAGTTCACTTACGAATATGACGAAAATAAAACAAATCAGAATAATCGATTTACTAGCATTCTTTCCTACATTTTCTTCAGAAAAACGAACATTCTAGGCACACTTCATATACTTTTTTTTCAGATCATCCCCTATGCTCATAAACAAATTCTATCAAACATAAAACTACTAAAAAACTCGTATCCATAGTCTATGGTTTACCTATTTTCGTGCTATAATGACAAAACAGTTTTCAACAAATGTCCCTTGCGGCTGAATTATATTTTATAATATTAAGCATTATTCTATTATTTTTCTTCTTATCATGTCATTAATGATTGCCTCAAGATCGACTAATGATACTTTTATACAGTAATAATTTCACTACTTGAGATTCACATTAGTTGATTCAAAAAAGTGCTGTAATACTTGAAGAATGTGGTGTAGACGTGGATGACCTGAAGAAACACCCACATCCACAGCCAATTGATTGAATCTAAACTGTTCAATAAGTAATTAAATGAACAATATGAATTGTTCATTTATGTAATGAATTAAAAGTATTACAAAAAGTACGAAAACAAATAACTTAAGTAATTTTGTACATGAGTGTGAAAATATGTAACTGAAATGATTGTCACCAAGCTTATCCTTGAATTTATTCATGTCCTTTTTTTCTTCTCTTCTCTATACGTACCTATTTCCTTTTCTTTTTTTTTCTATATTGTATAGACGCTCAGAAACGTGTCTCATCTGAGTGGGAGAATGTGCCGATATTGATATCACCTTCCGTTGATCTTCCCTTGCTGTTTCCTCTATATCTTGTCTCTATTGTTCTCTCCTAGATAGGCGTGTGATATATGTGAAGTAGCTAAATAAACATCATTGTCGACGGTAGCGGTAAGCTACTCAATCCAGTTTGTCGTTACAACAAAGTCAGATCGTCAATTGACATCCGTTCGTTCAATGTTTATTCTAGCAAAAATGAAAATCATTACATTTGTATTATTCACACAACATTTTCAGTAGACTCAATTTCCTTTAGCAAATTCTGATAATTTGTATCAAAATCTTTCTTCGTAAAATCAATATAGAGCAATTCGGCTGAAATGAGACCTAGCCATCCATCAGGATCGTATTTTTCTTGAAGTCTTAATGGAATAAGTTGTTTACGTTTCTTACATGCGTATGTTAATTCTTTACGACAATTATCGGAATTTCTGTACTTTTCAGTCATTCCAAACAGAACAACCTGCGATTGTTCAACTGCTTTGGCCATTGCCGTATAAATACATCCGTGCATATTCTGAACGTCAAACCATACTGTATATCCGTCTGATCGAAGACGATCATAGATTTTCTTGCATATAGCCTGTGTATCCCAGTTATAGCTGATCATCAGATGCTGTTTCGAAGTAGATGTGTGACGCTGATCGGATTGAGTCATACGATGTTGATTTTGTTGTGGACGGCGAAATAGACAAGCGCAACAAGTAGTCGTATGTGCTAATTCTACAGATCCTCGACTTGGCGTTGGTGATGGTGGTGGCATTATAGGTGCTGGTACCGGTAGTGGTGGTGGCGGCGGCGAATGTCCTGATGGTGCTGATGGCAGCGGTGATCTTGACGGTAGTCGTGACGGTGGTGGTGGTGGTGGTAGTGGAGATAAGGAGGAATGTTGGTCTTGAATTCTCTGGATATAGTTCACTATAATATCTGTATTAGGTTTGCTTATCGATTCTTGAATATCTTGATACACATCGTTAACAGTTTGTTCTGATATGTCTGATGCTTTGTGTTTAAATGGTTGATCATCCAATGGTCCTTTACCAATGAAATCACATGTTTCATCTAGGTTGTATATTAAAGAATTTAAAAAACAAAAAAAAAGTGTAGAGACTACAGTATATAATCTCTTTTTAATCTAATTTTCAATTGAAACTAAAGCAGATGTTCAATGAATTTTCAGAAACATTTCTTTTGAAATTAGAGATATGATTCAAATGTATGCTAGTCCTTTTATGACCAGAATCATTTGATGAAGGACGAGAAAATCTTAAGCAATATTCTAATAGTGATTGATCAATGATAAATCGATTTTTTTTCTAATCGAAATGAAAAGAAAATAATGTATATCTTGTGACTTTGTCAAAAATATGGAGGATCGAAGAAATATAGAATCAGATGTAAGTTTTAATTTTTGAAATCTATTTGATATTAATTAGGAAATGTTATATCAACAGGCCTTGTTAGTTTTTCTTACAAACCAAACAATAGGCTATTTAATTTCAATCGAAATTTAGATCAAAAACAAAAACACTTGATTTCAAATAGGAATGGAAGACTAGGGAGACGTAAGAAATATTCATTCATATATTTATGTATATATACCCACCGGTTTTTCAGAAGAGCAGAACTTAGTGGACCTGGGGGACTTAAAAATGACATATACATATATATGTATATACCTCCTTTATAAAGCGGTAAATAGGTTATAAGCCACTCTGGTACTCCTAGTCTCACCCTCCGAAAAAAGAGGTAGTAAGGAGTTATTCGAAGTGTTGCATTAGATAAATAAGGATGTCGTTGACTTAGGATAGATAAAATGTTTGTTGTACTATTTTTATATAGTATGTCCATCTGTCTCAGGCTTCATTAATAGACAGGCGGCTTTCTTAGTCCCCCAAGATCCTGTCGTTTTGGAAAAATTGGAGTAATTTTTTTTCCCAAATTCAGTTTGAAATAAAAAAGATCATAGACTCTATCAAATATAGACCATTTTATATTCTTGTATTATTTGTGTAATTTACATATCATGCCGATTTTCGGCATCAATACATGCAGTAAAACCTTCCTATGTGGATACCTTTTTTTCAGTCCCGTCTACAATCGACAACCTTTTTAAAAAGGATAGTGGCTAAACTGCAGTCAAATTCATGACTTTCTGAAAATTGAACCGACAGAGAAGGAAAAGGTCAGCAAAGAAGAAAAAATTGAGCATACTTTGAAGCGACTCAAATTAATAATTGTTCTCTAATAGACTCGTTTCGGAGATGCAATCGTGGGTAAAAAGGATTCAGTACGATTCATACCATTTCTAATTTTCATCATAAGTGTAAAACTGTTAGACTTGATTCAATTGAAAACTAACAGATTCAAGTGCTTCACTCTAGCGATTAAAAATTTGAGACGGAAAGAAAAAAGCATCTAACAATTGATCGATACATGGGACCATTGAGATAGGCAAATACAATTTGAAACGCCATATATGAGTCAAGGGTTGATTTAGAAGTACACACGCACTTCACTTGAATACAGTAAGAGCTCTCGATTATGAACACTATCGTATCGCATTATTGTAAATTTGAAAATTTGGTTTTCAGTTAAACCAACTTTTCGAGTTTTATACTTACTGATTACTTCAAACTATTGTACAAAAATGTTTGAGAGTGAATGTCAGATATAATGTAAAATTTTCTTGTCTTCTCTCCGGATAAAAAAAAGAAAGTAAATCAGTTAAAGAAGACTGTATGCAAAATAAAACCACACTACTCTCCAAAACATGATTTGATGCTTGTCGAACTGATATCAATATGAAAAATTACAATATAGATAAAAATTAATATGAATCAACTTATTTTTCATTTAGCTTTATCCAAGTTATTTTTTTCTCGCCAAAAAAAAGGCATCCTAATCCTTTCCTTTCGGGTTTCATATAAAAAACAAGTGAACTGTAGCATAAGATGATTTTAACGCCGGAATCAAGTTTTAGCATTATAAAATAATTGTAGAATTCTAAATGTTAGATGACTACATTGACAAAAGTCTTCACCATAAAAGATTTCTCTTATTAGAATAGTCATTATTCGAGAGGACGAAAGATTCATGATACCTTTTTGTAGACTATAACTCAGTAGTAGAGATGCGTCGATTTCAATTTTAGTCAATCCCAGATAATCAGACTTGGAACTAGAACTGCTGATATTCGGTTAAAATTGGTTAGAATCGGTTTTAATGCATCCTTAGTCAGTAACAATTCAATGAATCGAACTTTAAATTGGAGGAAACTTTTATCTTCAGTCGAAAATTGTTTGCCTACAATTCTCAGAGAAGAATCTTCTTCTAAAGAGAAACTTCAGTTACATATTAAAATATCAGGAATCAATCATGTAGTTGACAAAAAGTAACGCAAAAATGACTTTATCAAATGAAAAGGTTTCAAGCAATTAGAGTGACATCATGTCTCTGATCTACAATCTTTGCGTAGTATGTGTAAACCTGTAACAGTTTCATATCAATGTCGATCACGCGCACTGTCGAAAACTTTTGTTGAAAAGAACTAAATCGGTACAACAGTTCTAATGAAGGAGATTCTGTTGTCGTCGTCGATTGTGAAACTGACGTAGTCGATCAAGTTTTCGTAATCGCATGCATATTTAGTGAGAAATCATAAGCAGAAGCGCTCCAGCACATTTAAGAACGACACTTATTAGGGGAGAGAATGACTTGTGAAAAAAAACTCAATGCTCTGCTACTGATAAAGATTATAAACAGAAATAAATATGAAGATGAATTAATCATTCGTTCGAAAATTTGTGCCTGGGTTTTGTCCTGATTTATGAATGACAACATGGCACCGCTTTTCTAGTTCTGGTTGTAGTGCGTGCATAAGTTCGATCTTTCACTGATACTGGGTCTAGAAAACATGTTCAAAATAGATGTATGTACATAAATAGATTATCAAAATGAACATTGCAGTTACAAGTACGTTACATCGGTTAACAAATCTAGTACTGAGTGCGAACAGAATAGTAACTTAAAAATGCTCTTAACTTGCACACTATTATCCACTCTAGCGTTCTCTATAATATCTGCGTATACTGTCCATCGTCTGTTATCACTATTTATCATCGGTTGTCTTTGCATTCGCTCTCTACATTGGAGAACATGTTCTCTCTCTATCTCTTTGCACATTCCATACAAACAATGGTATTAAATAAAAGGTCATCTCGTCGATTTTTTAAATTAGCTTTTGGTATTTAGGCTATAATATTGTCGTAAAATCCGATTTTTTTTCTCGCAGTTTTATGCACTATAGAGTTTCTTTAATATGACCCATAAGAAAGCATAGATTCCTGTAAAACGAACTACTAAACTATTCGTAGAACTTCATCATTCATGAGAACTGTTGGCACAGTTAAATTCTTGTAAAAAAAAAAGTTTCAACAATTCACTCCTTATCACAAGAATCTTCCCACAGTTCTTGTTGTCGAAAGAATCGAACTTATGAGCTTGAACTGTTATAGGTCTACGTATGTGTACGAAAATTTTGAGACCTCTTGCGTTTATAGGAACTGAGATCTGCTAGATGAGAGATTTTTGTCCACTACTCTTAGAGTATGTCTTTACCATTCGAACTTGAAAAGAGTTGAATGAATTTTAGAGCATAATAATATTTTACAACGAGTATGCTATTCAATTCTTGTTCTACGTAGCTCTCTCCGAATATGTAGAAACTATTTTCCGATCATCGAACAAGACTATAAATCTTTTCTGACAACATATTTGAATCCAAAGATGAATAAAAACTTCAGAAAATAGTTTTGAATTTTTTTGGTCGGATTAGAAAACCCAGGTATTCGAATACGTCTTTTCAACTTTTGACAAAGGAGGAGAAGGCATCTTTTCATATAGAAATGAGTTTACTAAATATGTCACAAGTGTTTATCATTCTCTTCAAGGAAATTAGATGACTTTTCATTATATCAAATCATTTTACCAGAACATTGATTAGTTGTCGTGATTTTTTTTCTTAATGTAGTTGCTTTCTTACTTTTAGTTTGTGAATGGACCTTGTAATTGTCAACGAGCGCAGTGAGTTGTTGCCGATATACTTGAATTTGACTATGTAAATTTTTGTTAAGAGACTTTTCATTCTTCTTGATATTTTCAGTTAAGAGATCTGCTAATTGATCAAATATTTGATTCAATACAGAAAACCATGGACTCCAAAATGACGAATCGGCTTGGAAATCAAAATTGGGATTTGTTCTTAATATTTTGTCAATCTCTTCTAATATCTGTGATAATGACTCGAATTCTTGCTTGCATGAACCTTGAGTTTTCAACAGAAATTGTTTTAAGATCGCAATACTATCGCATGTAGTCAAAGCAGTCTCAATCAAATTCAACGAGTTTGTTGTTGCCATTATTAGTTCACTGTTGTAGAGAAATTACACCTATCAACGAAAAAACACAAAAAACACGATTGAGAGAATTGTTAAAAAAAAGTAATGTGATGTTTGGCTGCTTCTACTAGCAACTGGTATACCAATAAAATCTTTTCTTTTCTCTTTCTTTCTTTCGTCGTGCTTTTGCTGTTGCCGTCATCGTCGTCTGTTTTACATGCGCATGCAGAATGGTGTGTTTTTTTTAATTTTTTTTTTGATTTGGTAATTCAACTCGAGAAAGCTCTTGTGAACGGTCTTAGAGAAAATTTAAATCTAAAAAGAATATTCATCCAATATTCTTTTTCATTTAGTTAGACAAATTCCATCTCGAAAGCACTG